GCATATTCATCATTTGTGATAAAATTCTCCTCCTTAAGTCTCAATAGTGTTCTTATCAATTTATGTTTATTATAAATCGTAGGATCATGATAAATTCGAGAAAACGTGCTAGTATCATTTAATATTTGATTCATTTTCTGTGGAAAATTTTGTGTGACTTTTGCATGATAACATACTCCAGTTACACTTATCTTATGGCTCACTAATTTTCTTCTAAATTAAAAAGTTACGCTTAGTGTACGTATTCTGTATATAATATTTTGTAATTTGTATATTTTACATCATCTGTATACATTTTGATCTGTTTGGCTATAAATAATTCTCATAGGAAAATAGCCATTTTATGTTATTCTCTTCTATCATACAATTCTTAATTCTGATTCGTTTTTCGGATATGAGCACACAAAACGTTTTATCTTTCACGAACAAAGTAAGAAAAAGACTGAATTATTAAATGTGACCTAGCTATGAATTAATTCTGTATTCTATTCACTTCGCTAATTAAAAGGAGGAATAATTAGAGAGGATTCCTTTTCGCTTCGTACAGTAATCTGAAGTACACAAATTGTAATATATTGGCCATATTTTTCAGAAACAGGTATCTTTTAGTTTTTAAAAAATAAAGCTGTCAGTTTCAAGGATAAAAGATAGTTAAATAATCCTTTTCATTTAATTGTAGTGATTTTACTGGAAAAAATAAATGTAGAACTTGGGCTTCTCTGCCTATGATGTTCTGAAAAGTGATCAAGAAAGTTATGTGTGTCATTTCAAATTCGCACTTATAAAATTCCACACTTTTCTTCTCTGTATCGTTTTTCAATGGAGAGAAGCCGATTATCTTTCTCTTTTTCCTCTCTGCACCTGGAGATGAAAAACACCTTTTAAATATGTGTGTCGTTGAGCAAATAACATACTCTTCTTTATCAGGAGTTACTATTCCTCTACCTTTATCTGGCCTGATTATGATAATTGTTTTATCATTCGACAGCTCGCACAGTACATTTCGGTAAGTAAGATGTTGTTTTCTTAGCTGTTTCATTCGTTTAGGCGCATTCTTCTGAAAACCGATAGCTGTGGAACGTCATCGAAATGCTGCCTCTAGTTGTTCAGAAGAAAGGTGTTAGAAAACTTTCTCATTCGCCAGTTTTTGATCATAGTGACGATATGCAGTGCGTAAATTGACTAGCCGAGCATAGAAATATTCCATATTGCAAATAAACTGTTTTTGATCGAACCTTTCGCATGGAAATATGTGATGTAAATCGTACTTCAGTGCTTCATGTTCCATCTCCGTTAGAGCTCTTTGAGAGAGATTTCTAATTGGATCTAGTTGGAGAGTTCATGAACATCAAGGTTTGTCTCTCTGCGAAGACTTCTAATTTTTTAAAATGAGTCTGCTCGCTTCTTTCATTCTTTTTTAACGCAATAGATTCAGTAATTATATTGACTCTTGTTAAAATGATAGGAGACAAACTTCCCTCCAAGTTTCGTTTCATTCTGTTGTATTGCCTCCGAGTTCTAGTTAGTTGCCTTTTCTTAAATTTTATTTCTGCTTGAATATGACTTCGTTGATATTCTCGTACTACTTGTGAATCATATAAATACGGATTGGCAATATGAAATCTAACGAACTGCGGTATTAGCTCTTCTGACTAACATTTGAGTAAAAACTTCAAGTGACCATGCAGTTTCAATATAGATATCCTTGCCTTTATATCTTTAATAGTAATTGTTGAAATAATGATCGTGATTGTTGCAACATAATGAATTGTATACCCTTAAAATCGGCCGCTTGTCGTGGTGGTATTTGCATTAACATGTTCTCTAATTCCACAATCGTCATGTGTCCTTAAGTATCCTTATTATTATTAATCTGACTAGTGGTTGTAGTTACTGTAGTATTAATTACGTTATCATCGGGACAAAATTCATTAATTAATTCATCTGCTATATCAAGTTTTTTGATTGTTTTTATCAATTAAACATGGAATACTTTGTTGTTGTTTTTTCGTTATTAGCCGTTGTATATTTCTGAGCAGTTGTGAGAACATAACTGACTGTTCGAGCTCATTCAAATCTCGATTGGAAGACACAATACTGATGGGACGTAAATCGCGATCACACTGGAGAGTGTCTCGTTTGAGTGAGTCACAGATGGGTCCAATCTGATTAACCTTGCGCCAACTCTTGCCCCACTGCTCATCTTTCGGCGTGTTGTTACAAAACACGTAGATAGAGTTGAGGTGTGCCCAGTCATGGAGAAGAGGTACGAACTGTTGGCCGAGTGCACCTGACACGATCAGGAAAGTTTTTTCATCCTTAGCCTCAGTGAGGTAATCGGCACACTTGTCAGTTGTCCGTAAATGTAGCGATCGAACTAGCGATGGCGCGAAGTTGAATGATGGATTGCTGAAAATCTGAATTGGACACGTCGATGCTCGAGTCCAACTAGAGTACAATAAAATTTTCAACGACGCGAAGTCGTGACGTCATCGTCGATTGTGTTTGTGCATTGCGGCTTTCGAACGACGAGTTTGTCACAAGACCGCTGTTTGATTTTGAAACTGCAGTTGCTTGTTTTGATGATGTTGTGTCTTCTATATTAATTTTTATACATTAAAGAAAAAGATTTAATAATCAAAACAAGAAATAATATTTTATATATGTGCAGGAAGATCCCACAATACATAACTAACGATTATTCATAGAAAAAGTGTTTGTTTTTCTTTTCGGTATTAACCTCTGAAGCGCTTGAATGAGTCATGATAAAGATTACATAAAAAAACACGATATAAAGACAGAAAAAAAATGTGTATGTCGGCGATACAGTTAAGTAGCCAGTTGGCTAATGACTGTCCTTCCTAAAGAGAATCTGAGTAATAGTCACAAAGTTTGAGTTAATGTTAAGTTTGAGTACTATTCAGTGTATTCTGTTGCTAGGTGAGTGACAAATACTGACAAAACAATGTTAATAGTCACAAAGTCAGGGCGAAGCCCGCGTGGGTGCTAAAAACAGTCCATCGCCCACCTCTGCTAGCCATGCAACGGTAACGATAATTTATCGGTTTATCGCTATCGCTTCTTACCTATTGTCGTTATCATAGTTATTGCTTCTTTCCGATAAAACCGATAAGTTTCTGACGCTTGCTAAGCAAAATCAAAATAGAAAAAGTGAGTTTGTAGCAACGATAAACTCATCCTTTATCGGCTTTTTTCTCCTTTTTCCTTTCTTCCTTATATCAGAGAACTAGCAAATAAGAGATAGTCTTTCTCGCATATGCAGGTATATATATATGACTCTGGTTCAATTAATTCTTCATGACTCAGTCAGTTTTGATCCAAATGTTATAAAAGAACTACCATAAGACACAAGATTTCGGTCTGCTCACAGATGTAAAAAAAGTTCAAGACTCCCACAACAGAACCTTCCCAAGGACTCGATCAAAGTCAGCACATATTTTTGCTACTTGAACAATATTAGCATACGTCATTGCCTTTGATCGAGTCCTTTGGAAAGTTCCAATGTGGAAGTCTTGAACATTTTTACGTTTGTGAATACAATGAAATCTTGTGAGTATTACGAGAGTTCTTTTATAAAATTTGACCGATAATCGATAGACGATATCCGGTACGAAGGGATAAACAAATGCGATCATCTAGAAGAATAGGCATATGAAAACGAAAGAGAAATCCACATGTTCAAATATCGCGTGTGTTTACTAAGAGGAAAAGACTAAATTCCCTCAATTTAGTTTAAACCAACATGGTTCTACCTTCCCAAATTTAACATTTTTCTTACGCATTTATATTATTAACGTTCTCTTTTTTTCTTTATAACTGTATCTATCAGTCTATTGTGAACCAACCCCTTTTTGTAACAGCCCAAGGGCTTAACAATATAAAGTCAAAAAAAAGGAAAAGACTAAATATCACAACAGTCGATATCTTTGTATCACTAGTGAACTGAGTATATTCTTATTCTTATTTTTTCTTCGGTATGAGAGCAACGTGACACATAAAAGATAAACACAGAAAAAAACATCCGCATATATAAAACTAATGCGAAACGTTGAATAAGTTGAAATGATAACTTATCCAGAATAAGTGCACAGACAGTGAGTTAACCCTTCGTAGCTGTCCTCACTTTGTAACACCATAGCCGTCCTGGGGTCCAGTTGGACCCACCTTGAGAAAATATTTTGAAAACTAGCGACTCTTTCTTTCGTTTAAGCATTTGATGCATGGATCGAAGACGTTAATTACCCTCGATTTGCAAGTGGATATATCGACAAATATATCGATAATACATTAGCTCGGAGCTCAGAGGACACTTTTTAAAGAATTTTTACACCTCATGATATATAGCTATTCTGAGGCTCAACTACTCAAATGCATGCTGTGAACATGTACTGATATATCGAAACTTAGTGGCCCTTAGATAGAAAATACAAAAGATCATGTTCTTCGTTTTTTAGTTTGGTATGGATAAAAACCTGTGTTTTCCTGTCTTCAGATCATAAAACTGTCTTTTCTGTGTCTACGAAAGATGTGCGCAACGAAAGATGTGCGCAACGAAAGATGTGCGCAACGAAAGTTGCGCACGGAAGGATGCGCACGGAACCTTGCGTACCACGAAACTTACGCACGGAACCTTGCGCACCACGAAACTTACGCACGGAAAGATGGGCACGAGAAACTTGCGTACGGCGAATCTTGCGCACGGGTAGGTTGCGCACGCAATAACAAATTCTTGACTTTAATTGCCATTATCGTTTAAATACATGTAATTCTACTAGTGTTTATAAGTGAAATGAAAATATTGTATTATAGGATAATATTATATGCTATTGCGGTGATTTGATCAGTAATATTCTGATGGGGATTAGAAACAAGATTGAATAATCGTTTATCTAGATGTCGATACTTTTTCTTTTTTGAAACTTCTTCACCGGCATTGACTCGTGCTATTTTAGTATGAATATGGGAATCTTCCTCTAAAATTATTTTTTCAATAAACTTCCACAGAGTGGGATGTGAACATTAAAAACGCATCCTGAAAAATAGAAGTGTTCATGAAAAGAAAGCAGATTTTAAGTTTATATTTGAAGACTTACCAATACGTCTGTTCCACTCCTCGGCAGAATTATTCGTTCTAATCTGTAAATTTTTCGTTCGTTCATGAACATTCCAAAATTCTATATCAAATAGTGGCCATGCACGTGAACCATTTGCACGAAATCGGCCAATGTAATTATGCTCAAAATAATCTAGTATAGTTTGAAATCTATTACCAAGATGAATACTGAGTTGGACGAATGCTTCGACAACATCCTTTGGATGAATAAATGCCAAGGCTGCAATTTTGTGTATCCCATGAGCAAAATCGCCATCATCTTCATAATATTTTTGCAAACCTTGCGCCTGAAATAATTGCAGTACAAATAATTGCATGAGTGCATATAATGTTAAAGGTGCGCTAATCATACCTGTAATTGTCGATGTATACTTTGACGTAAATGAAAATAACAACCAGATAGAGACGCTTGAGGAAAACTGGTTGAAAAAACATTCATAACCGCTTTTTCAAATTCTAGTACTATATTTTGTGGACACCACGCTGGTGCAAATTCTACAATATTATTTATTAAACGTTGATATGTAACTGCATTTTTTCGGCAAAGCAGGCCAAATACTACCGGAATAACATGTTGACGAGGTACAGCATAAATTACATATAACTGATAAAAAATTTCTGGGACGATCTAAAGCAACACAAAAACTTCAGGTAGTTGACTAGGGCTCATGTTTAGCAATTTTTTAACATACAGCGAAGGTCCCGTCGATAAAAAAATCATCCGATGATTCTAAAATCGATATTTGCTAAGGCTACTAAATATAAGTATTCGATCAGCACCTGAACAAAAATATCGTAAGTAAGCCACTTAACAAATATTCATCATTCATTTCTCAGTGGAAATGTTTGTTGCTTACCTGGACCTGTATCACAAGAAAATTTCATTTCGCTTTGTTGACTGTAAAAGTATAGGAGCACATGGAAAATCGACATTATTTGGTATCTGTGGTAAATCGTTTATTTTTCGATGAAGTTGAATTGTTCGTTTTACATGATCTAATGGTGGTAAACGTACACGTGCTGGATCAAGTAATTTTGATATACATTGTGATAACACAGTGTCTGTTGATTCTTGTGTATTTTTTGCACGATCGACGACAATTTCATAAAATTTTCTTAATAATATTTTGATTGGATCACTATTACAACTGGTTGTGTGAATACCATTTCGATTAATTATGGTGACGTGTGTTTAACTATTTGTAGAATTACATGTGTGTATACGATAATGACAATTAAAAGTTTTATGATTGTCGCAACGCCAGTAAGTTTTTTCGTCGGTTTGACGACCTTGAATGTATGAGTAACCGTCTAATATCATTAAAGGACGACCTTTTGTGGTAGTGATGAATTCGACAGGAGTAGACATGTTTAAATATATAGAATTGATAAGCAGTAATTTCAATAGCGAATACGCATGTTTATATGCCTGTAACTGTTTTGTTCTTAGAACAACCTTATTTTAATGGGATTAAAGCATCAAAAAAGATAAGACACCTAATTATTACTATTAATTAATTTATCCGATAAGATGACTATTTATCTGTTTATAACTTAGTGCCTTTGATGATTGATGATCTGATATATGTTGCAGTAGAAATCAAAATTTAATCATTGCGAATACCTACATGAATCATTCTTTTCCTTTCTTCACCATAATTTGGATATGAGAATCGAACTTTTGATAAAATGTCTCTATGTAAAATAAGTTAAGGACACTAAAACGAGTTAAGAATCTAGGACATAATTATAAGACATGATAAAATAGTTTTCTGTCAAATTAATTTATTAAATATGACTGATTAAATAATTGATTAGCTTATGCTATGCAAAACATTCTATTTAAAACTTATGTATTAATTAATTAGTTTGGTTATATTTGAAGATATAAATTGTTAATACAAATCTAAAGTCGTTTTTTCATGCGTCTCAATTTTGTGACTTTCATAATCCAAAGGTGTTAACACCCCTTAGGGAAATTTAAAATTGCCCTGTAGGGGAAATCGAAATCTTGATTACATATATTGATGACTTATATATAATCTTTTAAATAAAATCACATGCTATAAACGATCGCATATATAAACGATAATGGCAATTAAAGTCTTAGGATTTTGTAATAAATATAAATATAATATAAGAATTTGTTATTGCATGTGCAACCTACCCGTGCGCAAGATTCACCGTGCGCAAGTTTCTCGTGCCCATCTTTCCGTGCGCATCTTTCGGGTTCCCGCCTTTTCTACTGTCTACTATAAATAAGTCTACTGATGCTATTGTTCTAATGTATATTTTTTTGCTTGTTCACTATATGCTGTCTCAACTAATCACTTGTAACACGAGTGACACGTCACCGTTGTGATGCTGTTGGAATGAGACAGACACACGTTCTGCCCTGTCATGTGCTATTCACTAAGAACTGGGTTTTTTCCCACTACGAAAAAAGAAAATAGGAAAGATGGGTTTTCTCCCACTACGAAAACCAAACATAGATGGCTTTGTACTTTCCTTATCCAGGCTGT